GGCGTTTACGTTCCGGATCGCGGCGGCGACAAAGGGAGCGATTTCTCCGGGGAGGACCTCGTTACCGATCGTGATCCATTTGATAGCGACGTCGTTTTTGTAAGGCAGGATCCAATTGCCGACGAAAATGGTTGCGGCGGCTGGGTCTTGGGCTAGTGGTTGGATTTCTTCGTTTCGAGGACCGAACGCAACGAGGAGACCTGATCCACGGAGCGCTTCGAGCATATCGGCGAAGGGCTCGTAAATACGAATGGCGTCGATTTTGTTGCTTTTGTATAAAGCTATGGTATCTGCCGGCGACGGGAGATTGTTGCCGTTGCGGCCGTAACAGACTCCGGTGATATCTCCATAAACACCTGGAAGCAAGCAGAACGTGAGATTAATTTTCAGCTTACCGGAGATAAACCAATCCGGTTTTATAAATCAAATCGATTGGAACAGACTTAAACCGTATAATATTTGGATAAAAGAAACACGAATACGAAATCAGATTCAAAGACCGGATTTATAACCAAATTAACTGAAACTAAACCAAACAAAAAATAACTTAATTATGATTTAATTTGGTTATGATTTAAGATTAATCTTTACCAGCTGGGCTAAGGATTTGGATGAACAGAAGCATAAAGATAACAACAGCTAAACCGGCCGGTTTGGAATCCATAGATGCTGCTTTGTGATGTCTTTGTTGCGTGTAAAGGTACTTACGGAGAACGGTACTGATCTTCTGAATGTTTGTGTGGAGATGATCATTTTTGGTGAGTGTATTTAAGGGTAATTTTAGGAAGCATGCATAAGGCATTACTACTTAATGACATTTGATCATGGCTATCGATATCACAGTATAATTAATGAAAAATCTCGAGCATGGATTGCAGCATTTAAAACAAATTAGTGACGAATAGTATAACAACATGTTGTAAAATTTGGAACAAATATGCAGAGTGAAATGAAATGATAGAACGTAGTTAAAGTATCGTGTATTAAATGGTTACACAATGTTAGAACGACGAAACGAAGTTAAAGTATCGTGATTTCCACCTACTTTTGTGATGAATAAAACAAACAATACAAAATCGCGTTGGCTATGTCATTGAACGGATGATCAATCAAAGCCAAACTTTTATTAGCTGGACCAACATTTTACTATTTATCAATAGAAGCCAAATTAAGTTTTGTCATTTAACATTTCCGTAGAGTTAGTTTATAATAACGTGAAATTACCTCAGCTCATTAATTATACTTGCACTAATTAAGAAGCCAGCCAAATGCTGTTTCAGTCATCCAGTGCCATCTAAATTTGTGTACACTCTGTTAGACTTGAAGGTAAACCGTTCTAGATAACGGATTCTAGTTTAATTTGGTGGGCTCAAAGTGTCATTTTCATATTAATGTACATCACATGCAATTAATACATTCTCTTTCTCTTTCTTATGAATCAATCAAAATCAAAGTTTTATTTATAAACTTAATGTTGTAATATAGAGCAAATCCAACATGAACGAAAAATAGTGGTATCGTCATAAACATGAAGGCACCAAATCTAGAAAGTTAAAATTAATTAAACTAAAATAAAAGAGGATTTGAAAGGAATCTTACTTGGATCCGATTGAACTTCTGAAAAAGATATGACCAATAATCTCCATTTTCAACAAAAAGAGGGATCATATAAATAATTAAGGAAAGTGCGGTAAAAAAAAGCATATCCGTACGACTTTATGAAAATAGTGGAATAGATTAATGAATTAAAGCGCTCGTATCTCGTGAGTCATCTAACGAGTAAAAATAAACCACGTGTCGAGACAAAGGAGGTGCACGAGTGCTACCCTACACCTCACACCTCCCTATCATATTCTCTAAACAAAACCTGCAAATAAAAAAAAAAATTCTGCCAAAATGAACCGTTCCTCTGTTGCCTGCAAATAACGCGAAAATCTCTCTGGAAAAAAAAGGAAAAAAAATTAGAAAAAAGAACCGAACCAGTCGTGTGAAGGATCCGAAAGAACATGAGCCAGAGAAATTTTTGAAGAAACCCTAATCTTAGCCTCGCTTTATCTTCGTCTTCTTCTCTTCTTCGATTGTTCCAATCTCGAAGCTGCCAAGATTGGTATCGGCGAGCTAGGATAGGGTTAGGTTTAGGCTTTCCGATTTAGGGTTAGGGTTTTGATTACCGGCTGATTTTATCCCGGTTATCTGGGAAGAGGAAATTGAAGGCGGAGTCGATTTGGGGGAGATTGGGGATTTAGGGTTAGGTGGAAGAAGTATTCCGTTTCATGGGCCGCGCGGGAATTTACGGTGGTGGTTTGTGTCGGTTATGAACGTTGACCAATGCCAGTGGCCGACGAAGATGATGGGTAGGGGAGTGGACGGAGGTTGCGGTGCTGAAGAGAAGCCTTACCGACCATTTCGCAGGGCTTCGATTGAGAAGGAGAATGGGATTAAGAGCTCCGAGGATAAGGCTTCGCCGGGAATCGATTTGTTAGCTCAGGCGAGCAAAAACCTCTCCGAGAGGTCTCCGTATGATGTTTCCGAAGATGGTTCGACTGTGGGGGTGAGTGTGCCTACTCTACCCATTGCGTTAGCTAATTTGCTGAACCAAACGGATAACAAGAAGCGGCAGAAGAAGTCTCACGCTGGGGCGGAGAAGAAGAAGAAGAAGTCTTCTAGGCAAGGGGAGAAGCTGAGAACTGGGAGCATCTGGGTTGAGCATCATGACTACTTTAGGCGCTTGGAATTGCCTGATTTAGAAACTTTGTCAGATTTAGCATCTCTGAGATCTTTATCCTCTGGAAATTGCTTTTCAATTCCTTCTGTGGAGTACGAATCCGTTAGTCTTCAGCAGAGGGAAACTGATGCCAGTGCGAAGAATGAGGATGTTGTTATGGAAGAACTTAAAAACTCTCTCAGGAAAGAGATATCTGAAGGCGCAGTAAAGAAAGAAGAGGTAAACGAGGATGTTGAGGAGCCAATGAATGTTGACAGTGTGGGAGATGAAGTCTCCTCTGGGTCAGACTGTTCCGGTAGTTTAGAATGGGTTTTAGGGTGTAGAAATAGGATTTTGTTGACATCGGAAAGGCCCTCTAAAAAGCGGAGGCTTCTTGGTGGTGATGCAGGTCTGGGAAAATTGATAGTTGCCACTCCTTGCAAAGGGAATGCATTGTTATGTGATTTTTGTTGCACCCGTGGTGATGCCAAGGGAAAGCATCACCAGTTGATTTCGACCTCAAGTTTCGTAAATGTGGCTCTCATTGGTCAGAATTTGGTGGAGGATCATGTTTTTATTTCATTGCAAATTTTATGTAAATTTAGCACTCTCTCTCTCTCACATAAACAGATTGAAAACATAGAGAAAGGAAATAGGGCCCAATCATAAAAACGTCTCAGTCGCATAAAAACTCCCCCGTGCTTGGAGAAATTATTGTCTAAACTTTCGACCAACATAAATTAAAACTATATTTATGTTATCACTAATCAAACTTATTTACATGAGGTCATGTATTGTATGAATAATAAGGCATATATGCGTGTAGGTTGTAACACACCATATATAATTTATACATACAGATACATTATACAGTATGATATTGCAAATGTAGCCTATAGTTGCGATCAAAAGTTGCATACTGTACTAGTATAAACTATAAACATACATATGTAATACATAAATTCCCAAGATGCATCAGTGCATGCATGCCTGCTCTTGTATAAAATAAAAATGTCTACGGTCGTATATAATAAGATAATGCAATCCATATATATTGCTAATGATTGAATCGAAGTATAACAAATTAATTATAAACTATGTATAACTAAACACGCATATTCTAGAATATTATCACAATGGAGACGCAGCACTTGTAAATGGAGAAGAATTGTGCTTCTTCTATATATTTTTGTTTAACGACTAGAAACACCAGTTACGCCCATTTTTCTTACTTCGTCATTTTCTTGATCAAATGATTTTTTTTTTAAAATAATCGATTGTTTAGCTTGCCTATGCTTGGCCCGGGAATGCGACTATGGGAAGCAGTTAGTGCCTAGTGGTGATGCGATGCAATGCGATTGTGGTCATATTGGGAGAATTGTTAGACGTTATCAAAGGCAGATGAACAGTAATGGCTGATTAGTAAGAGAGAACAAGAAACAAGGAAATGAGATTTGGTGACTAAAAAAATAGGAAAACAATGATCAAGAGCGAAGGAGTTGACTAGAGGCTAGAGATGCGGCAGCCAGAAAAGGAATAAACCAATTTGATTCGGTAATCAGAGTATTAGCGATGACTAATTAGTAATTATAGGATTGGTTTGTTTAGTACGGCCCCAATGTCGATGACATGGCAGCACGTGGCTGCATTTCATTCCCACGTGGACTGTTGTCCCTTTGCTCTACCCAAAGGTCGCGTCTTTTAAGCGGGAGAAGGCCAGCGAAGCCGCGAGCTGTCGCCGTTCTTAATTAATAAGTTTACTTAATCCACCATCTGTTTTTTTCAAATCCACTTCTTTCTTTCTTTTTGCCTAGTAATAATGTTTGTTTCTTTGAGTTTCGTACAACAATCTTATCCAAGACAATGCCCATGATGCTTCTTTTTTGTTCTAATTTTTCTTGTAAACGATGCTGAGGTTATAAAAGAACAGCCTGATTTGGTAAATCCACGTTTGTAGTTAATCATATAACCGAGTGGTAAACCATCCCATTGTATATTAAACAATACATCCTGAGTATTGCATGTGTTAGATCAACCTAGTATTGCCAAGTATATGTATTTATGTATGTATGTATGTATGCAGTTATATATTATCATATTCATCTCACGAAGCAACCAAATATCGGAATACATGTGTATATCTATTTATTAGTTGATCAAGTACCAAGATATATTAAAAATTCAAACGCAATGTCAGACCACTTAAAAAATGTTATCACCAAATAATACAGCATAACTTTTATAACTTACGTCTAATTACTTCCATGATAAACCCTAATGATCAATTGACACACACACCTTCGGTCAAGGATCATGTTAAAGGTAAGCCTTTGGTCAAGGAAAAAAGGATCATGTTAAAAGAAACGGCCAAACTAAGATAATGTTTTTTTTTGGTCAACGTATAAATCACAACTTATGAGCCAGAATGTAGTTGATATTACACGATCCATATTGTATCGTTTACTGAAAGAAAACAGATGCGAAGAAATTGTATAATAGATACATTGAATCAAGACATGGAATTCTGATGGTGTGGGTGTGAACCGTGAGTTGGCACAAATCAATTCATTTAGTCCCATTAAACACGTTTCTTTGGACTAAATGAAGTGTAATGATAATCCGCATGAAAGAGACTGGTGAATTTTATTTTGGTTTTTGTTTTAAAGAAAAAGTAGACAATGTTGGGATAGTGTGTATATATATAAGTTATAATAGGATGTAGACATGTATATGAATATGCTGGATAAGATGCCAACGATTAGTATAGTGGATGGTTTAAGAAACATAGACTTGGCATTGGTCCTAATTTACAAACAATAGTAACTGTCACATTCGCAATTTTCTTAGAGGAAATGTTGGCATGTCGCATAAACTCAAAAGACTTAGGGAAACGAATGTCAATATCAGCGGCCCAGTATATGGGCTAAAAGGCCTAAGTTGTATAGAGAAGGCCCATTTGGAGAGCATCCGATATATATTCATATATTCAGGAGAAAATGTCGGTGAGCAGCGTAGTCAACGAAGCTGTAGAGAGGAGCAACTGCGTCTCCTCCATATTTGTCAAACACATGCAGCTCCTTCTTCGCCTTCTCCTTGAGCTCTTCCGCCATTTCCGTTGCCCTCTCTGCTCCAAAGAATGCCGCATAGTTCTTCTTCTTCTTCTTCGTCTTCTCCTCATCGTCTCTCATGTCATCAACCACCTGATAGAGCATCCCAACGGCTCTCCCGTACCTCCTGAGTACCTCTAGCTCGTCCTCAGTGGCACCGCCCAAGAGCCCTCCGCACACGGCAGAGCACTCCCCCATGGCTCCGAATTTCTTCTCCTGAGCAAAGGAAGCGGGGAAGGGGCCTCCTTCGAGGTCAACGTACTGGCCAGCAGCCATACCGGTGGAGCCGACGGTGCGGGCAATCTCGGCGACGACTCTGAGAAGGGTGGGAGGAGGAACAAGGTGAGGAGGCGTGTGGGAGACAATGTGCTGAAATCCGAGAGGGAAGAGGGCGTCACCAGCGAGAATGGCCATGTCTGCGCCGTACACTGTGTGGTTTGAAGGTTTCCCTCTTCGCACTGGATCATCGTCCATACAGGGGAGGTCGTCGTGTATCAACGAAGCCCCGTGGACCTGACAAGTGACAAGTGACATGTGACACCCATTTTCAAGTGACTTCGTATTTCTAATTCGATCGAGACAGGATTCAATCGAGAGAGAGAGAGAGATCGAACCATTTCTAGGGCACAGGCGGTGGGGAAAGCGGCGAGGCGATCGCCACCGAGGAGCTCGCAGGCGGCCACGCACATCACCGGAGAGGCACGCTTGGCGCCTTGTGCGAGGACAGAGTATCTCATGGCCTCATAGATCCCAGCTGGGTACTTGACCGGTATCGCTTCGTCGAGCTTCTGGTTGATCTCGCCGATGAGAGTCGTCCAGTAGGTCCTCAGATCGAAGTTGGAAGCGGATAACGAGGCCGAGGAGGAGGAGGAAGACCGAATTGCTACTGCGCCGGAGAGTCTCATGGGAGGTTTCTCCGGAAGAAAACAGAGGTTAGGCGTTAACAGGCTCGCTGAAGCACTAAACACCATCGCGCTGGATCTATCGTCTCCGCCGACAAATTTGGAATTTGGGAGATGAGTGAGAGAGAGAGAGAGAGAGAGAGAGAGAGAGAGAGAGAGAGACTTGAAAGTTCAAAGTGTCTCTCGCCCATACGACACATGTCAGTCTAATTATTTGGAAAATCTATACCATACGTCGTCATAGAGAATACAGATAGAAGAATCTCAATCAATCTTCAACAACATTACTGTTAGATTCATTTAGATTTAGCCATATCTTAATTTACACTAAGTCTCTTTTTGTCCTTCTCAAAAGTTATGACAACAAAAACGCACTACTTTCTTTCCTATCTCTGATGACACCACTTTCACATGGTTCCAAACAAGGCTGATTTGAGCTTCTCCACTTCTGTGAGGAGGGAGGAGTCTCCTTGGCAAGCCTCCTTCAACACCTCTATTCTTCTCTGTCTCTCCCTTGTTTCCGTTGCTGTTTCTTCTTCTTCCTCCATGGCATCTGCGCACCATTTACGATATCGCAGGAGTTCTAGCATCATCCCCTGAAACATTGAACTCACATTTCATTATTAATCAAGCCCTCAGATCTCAAAACCTGCAAGAGATGAGGGATTCCAAGTTACCTCACGAAGATGCCGCTTTCTGGATAAATCTCTCACAAGAGACTTAACAATCTTATTCCGCAGGGATACTTTATCCTCGCTCACAAGAGACTTAACAATCTTATTCCGCAGGGATACTTTATCCTCGCTCAACAATAACGATGAAACGTGATGCAACACTAGTGTAAACGCTACAGATCCTCGCGTCGCTGCTCTGTCCAGAGCTCCACTTGTCCATGCCTTTAGGTATGCCTCCAGGACCCCCTCGTTTTCCTGTTAAATCGCCAATTAACCAAGTTAAACATGCCATTATTCAACACCTACTACATATACTATATTGCACTCTTTTTTTTCCACCAAATTACCTCAGCTGGTTCGAGGTAACCTTGTGCCTCTCCCAAGCATTTGTCTAGACTCGGCAAAAGCTCAAGAACACGGGCATTGGCAAGCGCAGTCCATGCCGAAAGCCTAACTGAGGGTTCCACGCACTGATGCAAGTAGGTCGACATCTGCCGGCCATACAATTCATCACCATACGACACTGCACCATATTGCTCCACCAGCATCTCCAGAAAGGTAGAGTAATTCTCGGATATGTCAGACTTGAATCTCAGGAGCTTAATTTCATGCTGATTTTGTCTCGTTTCATCAAGAACCTGCCCATAGAGCTCCTGGAGAAAACTGTACAAGTTCCTAGTGTCCTCATCTTCTATGACCTCCATTCCAACAAGCAGCACAGTGGACAAAGCGTGAAACTTCCAAACCAGCGGCACACTTGCAACTGGAGACGGAAGCGATCCCAACCCAGTCGATGACTCAAGTCCTGCAAGAAAGAAAACCCCGGCTTTCGCGACTTCAAGCAACTCCCTCGATTCTGGTGGCCCCGCTGGAGTTTTACCACCATTGGCTGCTGACATGGAGCTGAGAAACCAGTGTGGAGGCAGGGGCATTCTCTGGTGAGCCCACTCTATGACCAGAGAGTCTGATTTTTGGTCCTGAGTCGAGCAATTTGGCATTTCACCGTCCTCATGAATAGTCTCCAGACCCACTGCGCCTTTCCTTACCCCACTGACTTCATTCTCGGCTTTAGATTTTCTCTTTGGGTGTAACCATCTGAGTCTGAAGTGAGAAGCGAGCACCTTGCTCATGTGATGATAATCCTCTTCACTACATTTCCATGTAAACGCTTTGGTTCTCTTGTTTGACTTGATACAGCAGGCCAGGTGTTCTAAAGCATGCGGTCTAAGGACATAGTCGAAGGCTTTTTCCACAAGTAAATGATCCCTTGGACCAGCAATCAAGCACATAGCTAAAGCAGAGTTCATTTTATCCATCAAGCAAACCGATCCTTGATCATTCTGCGAGTCCATTTGAGAGATGTTAAGAAAGAGACTCAGAAGACCGGCATCAGCTTGGGCCAACAGAACTCTGGTCGACCAGAACCCACCACCACTAGCTCCCCAACCACGTCCCAGCCCAGGAGCTAGTCCGCCTCGTTTGTGTAGCTCAATGGATTGCACGATGGGCCATTCTGATGCAACGGAATCTCTTATAGAGCTCCACACATATGTTAGGTCAGCGAGAGACTCTGTCAGTATTCCTCTTGCAAGCAAAGACTCATCCCTAGCGGAAACGCTTCCCTGAGGAGGAGTTTTCATCTTAGATCTAGCAGATTCTATCAGAATTTGAATGGACAGGATAGTCCGCGTTAACCCATGAAGGCAACTCACAGAAGCAAGCGCTAGTTCTTCATCTTGAGATTGTTCTCTTAGAAGACACAAAAATCCCATAAAAGAGGAACACATGAGAGAGTCTTTTTCACACCTGCTTACGTCTGCAACGGAAAAACTAAGAAGCTTGTGCTTGATGATGGCGAGGCCAATCTTTGGAACAAACTCCGGCAGCCATGGCAGAGGTTCTTCCTCTACATAGGCAGATATTTTCTCAAGGACTTTGGAAATTGTACGCAAGACACCCGAATACAACCACAACAGAGAAGTAGTGGACACAGAGACACTTTTGATTCCTCTCTCCCACTCGAGTAATTGGGGGGCAAATGTTATCCAGCTCAGTGCTGTATCAATCATAGGGCTGACATAACTCCAGTCCCAAGCCCCAGTTTCGTTCCGTGAAATGTTTGGTGAGTACATCCTAGGAAGTGTTCCAGCAAAAGCCTCAAGGACCAGGTAAGCCTCCTTTGACACAGAAGTAAACTCGCAGATGAGATTTTTCTCCTTGAGCTTTTCAAATGATGGGCAAGTTAACCACAGACACAGAGCTGGGAATAGCTCTGGGAAGCGAGATATGCAACAGCCACTTTGGATACAGACCTTCCAAAACCGGAGTTGTTCAACCATCAAATCAGATGTAAGCTTGCAGTTCTGCTTCCCTAACTTCACCCATGAGTCAAGAGAGGAGGTGAACTGAAACAAATGCCACGTGACCGCATTGAATGTCCCATTTTTGACAAACTCCATGCAAGTGCTTTTGTCATACCGGGCCAACACCTTGGTGAAATTAAAAAGAGAGAAAAGAAAAACCAAGGTTATAATAAATAACTGATAGCTTATCAAACTTTGACCATCAGGTTTTGTCAAAAAAAAAAAACACCAAGGACGAATGAACATATCGACCCAAAGATACTTATGTACGAGCGGACCAGTATTACCTTTAAGAGGCGAACAGAATTGATCTGAGAAGGAAGAACGTCCATTTTTCGGTTCAACTTGAATCCTTTGACGACTGCTTGCACAAATTTGGGATACTTCAAGATTGCAGTTGTGCATTTTGGAGAATGTCTTGCTATTGCAATAGTAACAGAAACTAAGCTGTCCTCGAGCGCTGCCGTTGGTTCTGTCTGAAATCATGATCATAAAAAAAATACACCATAAACCTCTAAGCCACAGGACACAACGAAAATGATTTTCCTTGCTGAGCGACAAACAGATAATGATCTACCTCCAGAAGGTGATAAATTCTTGGAAGGATATCCATTCTGACAAGACCAGCAGCAACATCTTGTCCAGCTACAAAAACATCTTTCTGAATAGTTTCCTTATCTTCTGTCTCCTCATCAGCAATTTCTTCACGGAAAGGAACAATGTTGGAGGGTTTAGCGCTGTACTTCCAGTGGCAACCACGGAGGAAGCCAAGATCAATCTCTGGCTTACTCCTAAACACAGAGGCGGTGAAGATGTCGTTTCCGTGTGGTCCCATATTCTGGAAACAGAAATGATTTTATGAGTTTGAACATATAGTACTGAGAGCTAAGGGGACTAAAACTTCTAAGGATTGAGAAAACTCTATACCTCCAAAATATCAAAGAAGTTCTCATTAAGAGAACAGCTCAGTAGACACTGAATCACTTTTACACATGCTAGAACAACAGAGGTATGGTTGTCATCAAGAGCCATCCTTAAAAAGAAAAGAAACTTAGATTGATAAGAAGGAAAAGCGTATGATATATGAGTGTTAACTTTTCAAATAAGTCACCCATCAGGATATTACCTCAATGCTAAGACAAGCTCAGGTTCGGGTCCAAGTGCATAAGCCCAGATGGCTTCCCAATCAGTGGATTTATCTTTTCCTTCCCTTGTGTAGCCGATTCTTCTCTGACAAAGTTTGCACGAAGCTTTGTCGAGTACAGATGCAAGCAGATGCAAAGCAAGGCATCTTTGCCCTGGAATCTGACATATCAATATAAACAGATTTTCTTCAGCTAAAGCCAAAATGGAAACAAAAAAGGAATTTAACAATTCTTATCATGAGAACCAAAATCTGCGGCAATCATACCACACTTCGTGCGAGTGCAATAGCTTCTTTGATAGTGTACCCTGCTGCCCCAGGGTCCCCCTCAGTTCTCAAAAAGTCACGTTCAGCAGCAGATCCAACGCCAGACAACATTTCACCTGTAAATTCAAAAAACGTAAGAACCTTAAGATTGCCATCAGATTCAGTTGTATGTATTGCTTCTACTCACCAGTTTCAGCAGCTGGGAAATCATCATCTTTAACGACATTCCCGTCAAAAGAAAAGCTCAACTCCCTAGTTGCCTCAACCCTCTCAGTCCATGCATCCCACAAGAAGCCTTGGGCTAGCACTGAATTTTGCACCACACTTGGTTCTTTTGGTATTGCTACCACTTGGGAGGCAGACGGAGTAACAGCCTGGCCCTGTTGCCTTAAAAAATGACCATCGGTTCTTGAATTCTTTGTTTCCTGGTTGGCATCGGAAAGCCCTGGCACCGAATGCTTTCGCTTCTTGAGTTTGTCATGGCCTCGTTTCTTCAGAATGCTGAGTAATGCAGGGTTCATCTTGTCCAATAACTCAGCCTGTGCCTCTGCAATCTCCTGAGGTGACATTGTCTGCAACCGTGCATGGTTCTCTACATCAATTTCACTCTCCAAAGATGAGGACGCGTGTCTAGTTCCGAGTCCATACGAGCTGGAGGAAGTAGCAGGTACAGGAGGAGAGGCGTTAAAAGAAATCCTTTCGGTAGCTTTCTCAGAAACAATATCTATCATCTGGTCGTCTGATGCCGTATCAAAAGTGTTGTTATCCACGTCCATGGGAGTAGTGGGCGAATCAACAGACAGCGGTATCATTTGAATGAGCTTCTTAGCTTTCCTTGATTCCTGTCTATCATGCGGAGAGGGCATATCTTTCCAGGTCCTGAGCTCCATATCTTTTCTCTCCTTTCTTTGAAGCGGTTTAGCAAAAGCAGCAATGGAGGCTGCATTCATGAAACGTTCTTCTTCTTCTTCTTCTTCATCCTCACTGGCATGATCCTCCTCGACATTATTATTGTCCTTAGATTGCGCTCTGCTCCCCGAAGGAGACCAACGCTACAAAAAATGAAATAAAAGAGCTGAGCTACAAGTAAACAAGCCCAGGTGAAAATCGAAGAATCCTAAAACCTAGAATAAGAAGATGAAGATAAGAATGGGAAAAACTGAAAAGCCCAAGTGGATTGGCATATGCTTACGGGTGCGTGAGAACGATGACGAGCAACCGGGAAGGAGACAAGGGTGTGCCTGGGGGGCAGCGGAGGCTGATTATCCGATATAGCTTTCTCGACGATGCTCCCGACTAGGCTTGAAGGCGTGTCGAAGAACTTGGCCTGTTTCTCTTTCGGATTCCCATCGACTCTCTCGCTTCTTTGCTCCTCCTCCATCATCTCAAACCCTCGCTAATTCCTTCTTCCCACTTTCTCTTCTATTTACTTATACAGAACCCAGCCAGACTTGGGGACTAAATTGAAATTGGCTGCAAATGTCCCTTTTTTAAGGAAAAATAAATAAATCATTTGTTTATAGTAAGGGATTAACCATTGAAAACCTTACTTGTTCCTCCTAACCTTGCAGTTTAACGGAATACAAAAACGGTGTCTCGTTTCATTTGGCATTTGAATGATTAAAAGTGTGTTAAAGAAGAGGAGAGAGTCATGTGATTGAGTTCCAGTAATCTGCTAAACACTGGACTCTGTGTTTCTTTCTGTTAACAAGTCTATTCCCAATTCTCCACACTCGACTTATCATAACATACTCTCATCTCATCTCATCATCGTACTAGTCAGACAAAAGAAACAAAGATACAACTAGGTCTACAAGGCATTGATTTACATTCCTTTTAATCTCTCTCCGGCGTCACTCCCGTTACTCTTCTTGAACTCAGATTTCCGGCGTACGACCATCCTTTCTCTGATTCCCCAAATGCTCCCTTGTCTCTCTTCACAGTATACAGCGGCGGTGCTCTCCTCGGGCTCCTCGATGCTACACTTAGGGAAGGCGTTGCATACGGGGATCCTTGCACAGAGAAGGGTTTCTGAGCGTTGAGCCCACTGATGCTGAAGAGGGAGAGCGATTCCGTGACCGTGGCAGAGACGGATCTTCTCAGGGCATCATCAACATAAAGCACGTCGTCTATTCTGGCCGTGACGTTGAAGGCCATGCTCTCCATCACCCTCGAGTAACTCTCCAGGATTGATTGCCCTACATCCTGCATAATAAACTCAGGTAAAGCATATGCTTTGATTCGATTGTAGCAGCAGCAGAGCAAAGCACAGTGGTGTGGTGATTCAACCTTGTTGTACTGAATCTTGTTCATGTCGAGCGTCGTCTGGGGAAGACCCGGGAAACGGATCCTGAGACTCTGCAAGAGGGTCTCAGCTCTCTGCACCAGGAACTCATTTCTATCGCCTTTCACCTTGCCGCCCCATGAAGAAAGCTTTAGTTTGGGCTGCTTCTTCTTGTGCGTCCTCCCATTCTTGTGCCTCCAAACGTGCACGGCAGCCTCAATCCTGTTGGCGATTTCGAGAGTCTGGTGTTCCGAGGAGAGATCAAGACAGTCTAGGAGACATTCCGGTGAGAACTTGTTTGCAGTCAAGTAGTGGTAGATCATCTCTCCAAGACATTCCTTCCCGCTCTGCACCACCAACCAAGTTCAAAAAAAAACAAGAAAGAAGAAAGAAAGTCAGACCAAAGAGGGAGAGAAGCTACGCTAAGCTAAGCTGTGCAGTGTGCATATATATATATATATATATACCTTGGGCAATGTGTCCAAGTAAGGGTCGGGGATGTCCATTTCGGCGAGCACACCGCTGTTGATGGCCAACGCAGCCTTGAGAATCTGGTTAGCAAAGTCCCGACACTGCTGCAGTTTCTTCCTCGTCTCCTCTGACAAGCCGTTAGGCGGAACCTTAGGGCAGGGCAGCCACCACTTGTCCTCCTGCCTAACGGAAGATGGAGAGTCGTAGGAAGTATGCTTTTCACATTCTCCGAGGACGATGCCGCGATCAGTATACCAGAACTCGGTGTCGGAGAAGCCGTCAAGCATCTCAATCAGCATGGCATCGAGCTTCTTGAGAGCAGGGAGATTGGCATAGAGATCAGAGCGCGGGCGAGTCTCCATGATCTCATATGTTCCGCCTCCAGGGAACTGCTGAATGGAAGGGATGAGCTCAACGATTGAGTCGCTCACACAGAGTAACCATTCCAGTTCTCTCCGCCACATGGCCTTCTTCTGCGCCGCAAGAGGCTCCAGCCTCCATAGCTCCCCAAACACAGTCGCTGTCAATGTCATTTCATTCAAGTATCACCTAAAAGACCTTGTAAAAGGAAAAAGAAGAGAAGAAGCAGGAGGCTTTATTTACCAGAGAGATTGGTGATGGCGTTGGAGATTGCAAGCGCTGTACACACCCCTTTACCTCCTCCTGACATGTCTTCTCCCAGAAGTAGTTTCGCAAATCTCTCCTTCATCATCTCACTTTCTATGAAAATGATTTCCCTAAATTAATAAATGAAATTGCAATGCAGGCTCTACTAAGTACTAATTTAGGAATTTAGTAGGTCAAGAGACACTCCTTTACCTGATAAATCGCTCTCCTGCTTCTCCGACTTGTCATCCCAAACCACATCTTTCCCACCGATCACCGGAAGCATAACCGGCGCCGGGAAGTAAAATCCTCTCGCACCGCCTCGGGGAGACGATGTCATGGAGCTTGAGGCTCCCTCGCCGTCGAAGCGGCGGCACGAGAAGCTGCTCGAACTCTCTGACTCGCTAATGTCGGCGCTGGGGCTGTAGCTTCCGCATCTCTCCGAAGAGCCTTCTTCGTCTTCCTCGGAAGATAAACTCCCCATTCTCGCTACCACAGATCCAAAGCTTCAAAATATCAACATCTAGGCAAAGAGACAGAGAGAACGGGAGAAGGAAGTGGATGTGATGATGGTTCGATAAAGCAAAGCAGAGACTTTAGATGATAAAAAAATGCCTCACTCTCTCTCACTCACACTCTCTCTTTCTTTCTCTCTCTACAGTTGTGTGTGTATGTATAGCTTCTCTTCTTTTTCTCTCCATCTGTGTATTTAACTTAACGACGTCTACTGCGTACGCCGTTAGGATAGTGAATATGGGTTGGTAACAAATCAACCGTTAACTCACGGTCGTTAAATTTTTGGTTGTGGAATAACTAACGGCGGAGATTCAACTAGTCCACGGCAGGTCTCATCTGGGTTGTCATGCACTCGGATTATTAACAACCGTAGGATATTAAAGGAACCATCAGGATCTTTTGAGAATCTCTAAGCGCCCGGTAAATTAAAAAGCCTGACATTGTGTGGACATGAAGCATTCCTTGTCGGATGAGAAGCCCTCGTACCGGCCTCAACTACGTTTACACCATATCTTACCTCGTGATCTTACGCCACGTGGCTATTACAGATTCGCTTGATCTATAGTATTCTGGCGTCATTAAAGTAATCACATCCTACGGCCTAGGTTGCGTTGGCTAACTGGATCCTGCTGTTTTCGAAAATGCTTTTTTGTTTCATTAAACGAATTTAAGCCGTTGATTAACTACTAATTTAATGCATTTGAAAAGAATGGGGTTAGTTATCTGTATTTATGTCACTGATCACAAGAATGATATGGAATGGTGTGGATTCACATGCATCGCCAAGTTGACTTTCTGTTTCTCATATAAAATCCTTTTAACCTCCCATATAAATGTTTGTTTTCCAAAACAATGGTCCATTTGGTCAAGCAATTTGGTTGATTCATAAACAAATACATGACTTATAATCAGCCTACAAAACTGTGGTTGTTTTGTTTACCAAAAGAATAAAAGAATATTCAATAGATGTTCAAAAGTAGAAAGAATGGAGCTATTATGAAGCACATTGGTGTTGGGTTGTGCAGAAGCCAGAAGGTAATCTCACGTAATTTATTTTATCAAACAGAATTAATAGTTTTGGTTAATTCATGCCAAAAGGAATTGATATAATCAAGGAGTAATGTGTCTGTTGGAGGCGCGACCACACAAGAAAACATTGTTGGGCAAAAGATATTCATCTCGGAGAGAAGGAACCGGAGAGTAAACTCGGAGATAAAATTGTTGGCCCAAGTATTGCCTGGCCCAGAACTCACTTCTTAGATTCCACATGCCCACATTGTCCAATGCCACATATACGGCTGTCCAAGATTCTGGATAAACCTACATTCAATTACAACAACAACAACAACAACAACAAAACATTATTTCAGCTTTGAGATCGAAAGAGATCAACATATACATATATTCACAAGGTAGGCAGTACCTGAGTAGTGGAGCGAGAAACAGCATCCCTGAGGTTATACTCTCGTCTGCTTGCCACTGACCATGTTCCTCTATTTATCCTGTCCACAATTTTGTTACAAAAGGTCATTCCACGTACGTACCATGGCGAATCTAGAAAAAAAAAAAAAGGGTTCAAGAGGACTCGAACTTGAGTTATAAGGTGTCAACTAAGTAACTTTTGCCATATTTGCCAGTGAATCTTTGATATTTTAAGGACAATTTTAGTATTTATAGCAATTAAACGGTGTCAACTGACCCCGTATCCTATAACGTGGACTCGCCACAACGTACGTATTAATTCATAAGATAGATTCTCAGAGAAAGTTAATCTCACCCGACAACCCAGAAGCTGTATCCATCGAGGTGGTAACTCTGGAGGATCTTCTCGCGGTTCTGAAAGACGATCTCAAGGAAGTCCCTGTGGTGAGCTCCCATGACTGCCGTGTCCAGCCTAATCCCTCGTCTTCCTCTTGTCGGCTTTTCAGGGATGCTTCCCACTTTGAAAACGCCTCCGATCTTAAAGTAATCCGCCAGCTTCAGCGGAGTGTCCGCCTGCACGAACGACACGCCGTTTATGGCGTAACGTTGCTTCCTCCTCACAAGTCCCGCTGAGCTCTCCAGTACTAAAGTCTTAGAGATGTTGATCTGACCATAATGGTACGATCCCTGAGGATTGGGCCTTGGCCCGGACGCTGTCAGGTTGCTCCTAATGGAGCGGGCTTGTTTGATTGACCAGTCAACTTCATCGCCAGGGTGTTGGTGTTGGTGTTCAACAGTAGAAGCAGAGGAGAGGCTCTGCCTTGAGTTGGAGTAGTGGAGTGCGGCTCCGACCACGAGTTCTCTGGCGGCAAATCTTGTGGAGACGATAATGGGATAGTCATTCTCAGGCTGGTCCATGGTGACGAGGACAGAGTAAGACTGACCAACGTGAATGTCGAGTGAGGAGTACATGGACTGGACCGTGTGGGTTCCCTCCACCTCCACCAGCTTCATATGATGGCCTTTTATCTTGAAATTCAGCGAGTGTTGAAGCCCCACGTTCGATATCCTCAATCTGTACGTTTTACCTATCAAATCAATAAAAAAAATTGATCAGAGCGTGCTCTTCTTCGTATCAAAGCTAGGGGAGGCTTATTTAAGATAGTAAGATGATGGAAACCTTTTTGAACGGTGAGAGAAGAAGAAAAGCTGACTCCACGGCCATTGATCAAAATCGCATCAGGCAAAGGTAGCTTGTGTCCTCTGTCCAGAAACGCTTTCAAAGTCTGGGAGGGAATATATATTGTTCAATCAGTCGTTATTAAGAAGGAACATGCTAATAGTTTTTTTTTTTAAAATTGAATAGTGTGATTAAAAAATGTACCTTGTGGTCATGGCGAGAGTACCAATCGCCGATGAGGAAGGTGAAATCTCCGGCGGGTTCAGGGAAAGGGACGGGGATGAGAGGGCGGCTGAGGATACGGAGGCCGCCAAAACCACCGGAGGCTTTGTGAAGGGAGAGGGAAGGGAAGTAGAAGAAACTACCGATCTGGTCTTTGACTTGGATGGCATAAGTGTAATTCTTGCCCGGTGGGATTGGACAAGTCGTCCCATACACTCCATCTTGGTATGAATTCTTCCTCAGTTGCACTCCGTTCCTTCAATTTTATTTTTTTGTATTATGGTTCATTCATTTCCATCTATTCTAATTGTTCTAGTATAACTCAAGCTGAAACGGGCCTTTATTTGTATAAGCTCTATTGATGTTACTATTTGCGTTATTGTTCATATTGATAAAGACGAAATGCAGAGATCTTAAAACGCTTTCACGTATATATCTTATTGGAAAAACTGTTTATGACAAGCGGATGGAAATCAACTAAGACAAGAGAAAGTGGTAAAAGAAGGGGAAATATATAGATACCAAGACAAGAGAAATGGCTCATCGAGATCGTTGTGAACATTGATGATCAAATTGTCATTTGTGACTGAGTAAATCTCCGGTCCAGGAAATTGTCCATTTATTAGGATTCCCTGCGTGTACATGCATGATCAAACAAAGACACGCAAGAAGCCATCCATAGATATTGTTGATCTTGGAAGAGAATGTACCCTTTGAGGAATGCCAAGTGGATAAATGTTGCCGTATGTGACCCTCCAGTCGAGAAACCGGTAGGGACTGTCAGCTTGAACAGAAGAAATGATGATGATGATCATGGACATCGTCCAAACGCCGCTGTTAAGCCACCAACCCATACTCGCAGCTTTGCCTCTGGATCTCGATGAAACTTTGATAACGAGAAAGAGAAAGATTGAAGGTGAGTTTTGGTAACCGAACAAAGAGACGTATTTAAAGTCCAATGTGAAGCTTTCCAATAAGCCAACTCCGTGTTTTATTCAATTTTGTAATACAAGTAGGCCCCCACCTACTACGTTTTCATTAGTTGGCCTTTTGGGAGGTGACTATTTTAATTTAAAGAAAATAATACCGTTGACGCTTGAATTAGTGCATGAAAATAATACGTACTAATAATAAAAATAAAAAAGAAAATATTAGTAAGAGTCCATCAATAACTAAAAGAAGAGTTGATGATTACAGAAAGAGACAAAAAAAAGAAAAAAAAAGAGTGGATCGTCAATCAAGCGCGTAAATGTACATGAAGATTATGCTGAGTTGGATTGGCTTTGGCGGCGCCGGAAATTCCTAATTCCAGATTATTTAACGTGTTTAATTAACACCATTCAACGGTCAACTTCATAAACAGATGTCAAAAACCCAAATAGTCCGGCATAATTGAGTGATTTGTGTCGCCACCCATATAATAACTGTTTCGTGGTTAAGGTTTGGAGTTTTCTGGTTTACTCAAGTTTGCGTGGTCCTTCCAAGAAATTCCAATATTACTAAAATTGTTAGTCAAATACGCAATGTAATGATCTGATAACAGTTTACATGAACGCGTGAGGGAGTAAGTGGGACCTACCGTGCTATTAGCTATGGCAGAGCTGGAAACACAAAAAGTCGCAGACTCTCTTCTTCTTCTTCCCGTGAGGCTGAGGCTGTGACTCTCTTCTTCACTTTTGTGTAAACAACAGACTCTCCGTGTGTGCTTTTGACTTTCCGTGACTTTAGACGGGCCTTCTTCTGTTGGGCCTTTTTTTTCCCAGCCTTAATGAACAATCTTTTGAGAAACAGAGCAAAAGCAGTGTTTTGTGTTTAATGTTACGTATAATTGAATTTGAATGATAGTTGAAGTGGGCCGAATCAGACGATGGGCTTATATAATCAACGAGCTCAAGATGGCTAAAATTGAGTAATGCAAATCCCCCCATTTAGAAAAAGAAGATGACCAAATTCATGTTGTGGACATTAGCGTTTACCAAATTCCATCATGTCTCAGGATCAGGCAAGAAGAGTGTTTCTTTAGTTTTGATCTGCATCCCTAACCAACAAAAAATATATCAATAGTTGATATAGAATTATGACAAAAAAAGAAGAAGAAGAAAGAGAGGGAGGGGTATGAAGATATCTTCACATGTCGTAATCAATGCCGTGGATGTGACAGAGTTGTTCTCACATGGATGTTTCTTGGTTACCAATCTGTCGAATACTGAAGATTTGATTGCTTTTTAATCAACATTTTGAGCAGACAAAACTTTAAATAAGAACACCAGTAGCAAGTTAATCGCGGGCGGAGAGACTTGTAATGCCCTACATCAAATTATTATATGTGTAGACTGCTTTGTTACTGGCAGTAGGAACTGTTTTGATTTGAGTTCTTCTACGGTTCTACCTACCTCTCCCATTTGCGTTTTTCATGTTATTCTTAACAAAACAATATAGCAAAACGTGTGTAGAAGCAAACGCAAAAGTGATGAAAAGGGTAGAAAAAGAAGGAAAGTTAAATTGGGTTTGGACAGTAACAACATACATCCGACACTTATGGAATCTGTTCTTATCTTTACCCTCCTTCGGAAGGCGCCATTAACCTCTATTATTAAATGCACTAATAACTTTTTTAAAGATTTTTGTTTTATTTTGTTGGCAGAAATTAGAAACAATCAAATATATGCATATTGTTAGAGATTTGGTTAGATATAAAGAAAATTGATTTGATTAGAGAAGGGTATGGATGACGTGTCCCAGAGAAGATTTGATTGGTAAACTAAACTCTGCTATGCCGACATGTACAAAGCCCGAGGAGGAGGAGGAGAGACAGCTGGTGATGGGAAAGAGTCGGTGCAATGCCACGTCATCCCCCCATTTTCAAACTGGCGAATGGTAAGTGGTATTGGACCTATTGGTTTCGTGTTTTCCCACTTTGGGAATAAAAATAAATTTAGTCAGAAGTAGATATTTAGTTATCTACCACTCAAACTAAAACTAAAACTAAAACTCAGTTGAAGATTGTCGCTGTCGAAAAAGAATCAGATATTTTTGACTTATAGTATAAAGTAGGGATAAACGCGTACTTGTGGTAAGTGTTATTATTATGGTGGAAGATAAGTAAAGAAGCCAGCTGTTTGGTTATCTACTAATCATCTAATGACGTGTGTCTCTGTGAATTGCTGAGCTGCCACCCATTAACAAGTCGTCTTCTTCTTCTTTTCCTCCAATCTCCACTACTCTTATTCTTGTTATTATAATATATATACTCGCTCTCATTCCTCTCTTCTCTTTTCATCGCATCAACAATTCTTTTAATTCCATCTTCTCTTCTCTCTCTCGCACAAAGTACAAAAAAAAAAAAAAAAAGAGTAAAATAAGGGAAATGGGAAGACGCTGTCTCTTCCTCGTCGCAATCGTCTTGGTCTTCCTCTTCTCCTCATCCGTTGACGCCTGCGACCGATGTCTTCACCGCTCTAAGGCTTCTTCTTTCTCCTCTGCCTCTGCTCTCTCCTGTACTCTACTCCACTCCTCTTTTTTCTCTTTACAGATTATATAATTCTCTCTTGTTTAAATATTCTCATCAAGCATCTCTCTTGTTAATTACTTGTTTCAGCCGGAGCTTGTGCCTATGGTTCTTTGGCCACGGGTTTCTTCGCCGGTCACATTGCTGCCGCCGTTCCTTCCCTCTTCAAAGACGGCGCCGGCTGCGGTTCTTGCTTCCAGGTCCGATGCACCAACCCGGCTCTGTGCAGCACCAAAGGCACCACCGTCATGGTCACCGACCTCAACAAGAGCAACCACACCGATCTCGTCCTCAGCAGCAGAGCCTTCAGGGCCATGGCCAAGCCTCTTCTCGGCGCTGACAGAGATCTTCTCAAGCAAGGCCTTGTCGACATTGAATACCAGAGGTGAGCTTTCCATTACTACTTTTTAGCATCTTCTTTTCTCTCCTTAATTAATTTACCTCTTTGGTAATAATAATAATGTAACAAACGAATACAGAGTGCCTTGCGACTTCGGAAACAAGAAGACGATGATGGTGAGAGTGGAAGAATCAAGCAAAAAGCCAAATGATTTGGCGATAAAGCTCTTGTTCCAAGGAGGCCAAACCGAAGTGGTAGCCATCGACATTGCTCAGGTTGGTTCCTCACACTGGAGTTACATGACCAGAAGCCACGGCGCCGTCTGGTTCACCGACAAAGTGCCCACGGGAGCTCTTCAGTTCAGGTTTGTGGTGACTTCTGGCTACGACGGCAAAATGCTCCGGTCGGAGAGGCTTCTCCCGGCCAACTGGGAAGCTGGCAAGACCTACGACGCCGGCCTTCAGATCACCGACATTGCACAGGAAGGTTGTTATCCATGCGACGATCACATCTGGAAATGACTTAAGAGAGACCCTCTTCCTTGTATTTCTGTATTGTAACATTCATTATTATTGTTGTTTATAACTCAGAGGAATAATCATAATCTGACGATCTTTAGCTACACAAAAAACTGGATGGATGGATATGTACAAAAAAAGTCTTATATATATATATATGGATTATGTACAACACCATTCTTTCTATCTGTAACCTTGCAACTTAAACTGATGAGCAAACGAAAATAAGAATATCTCTAGCGAAAAATGAATGGGGCTTATTATGAGAAGATGTGTTGATCAACTTGTGATTGATCCAAATCGCTTCTAGTGACTGTGGGGGGGGACATTGCCAATGTCTGAGTACTCTGATGAGTCATCCTGCGGGGTTACATGTTTTTGTGTGGGCTTGGTTCGACAAATGCAAGAGGATGGGTTCTCATGGAACTCCCCGTCCCCCGGTTTGACTTCATCTGGTTCCCCCATGAAACCCTTCTGGTAGCTTCGGACACTGGAGGAGAAATCATCCCACGTCATGTTGTGTCTGTTTGTGAAGAGTTTGTAGAGTTTCTTGGCGTTTGGACGGATGGTCACTTTGTGTCCCATGTATCTCCTGCACACAAACATGTGATAGCTAGTCAGAGGAAAGAGTCAAGTGTGAAAAATGTAAAATGCTACGAGAGAAAGTAGATGTGTACCTTCTTCCAGCTAGGATTCTAGCCATGTTGCCGTTGTTGTTGGTGACAAAAGCGTCGCTCTCATCAGAGACGATGAAGTCAAGAGCAGCCATGCGCGATGAGAAGTTGGCAAAGGGAGCCAATTCTTGCTTGGAGGTGAGAGTCTCTTTTGTATGGAGATTTGGGAACAGAGCTCTGAGCGGTGCAAGTGTATCCTCCCCTCCGTACACATCCCCTGATGCAACGTACAAGTTAACCTCTCTCCCGAAACCTAAGCCTCTGAGCATCAGACCGATCTCCTCTGGCGTCAGGGGACATCTCCCGTGCTGCCGTACCTTGTCAGGGTTTGCCGCCTGCACATGCATTGCCCCACCAATACAATTGTTATTATACAAAAGAAAAAGAAAACAGAGAGCTTAATTTTCAGAAAGAAAGAAGCAAGCAAGTTTCTCACATGTAATGTTTTCCACCTTCTTCGCATAGCTCCGAGTTCGAGCCTCTCTTTCTGGCCTCCCCCGTAGTAGCATCCGGAGAAAGCCAGCATGTCAGGTTCGAACCTGAGATGGAGGGCCACGAAGTGTTTGGCCTTGCTTCTCATGCGGTCCACCAGCAATTGGCCCATCCTGTTGATAGACTCTGTATATCTCAAGGCATGGTAGTTCACTCTACACCTCAGCTTCTGGAGCTCTGGGTCAAGCTCGTTGGACAGCCTGTAATCGAACTTGGACAGTTGTACAACCTGCATGCATGCATGCATGCCAACAATTAATTAAGTTGAGAGACTTGAGAGAGCATATATATATATATAAAATGGATCAGGAAAAGGAACGGA